TTCGGTTGGTATCCGGTTAAAGTATTCCGCCATTCTGTACTTCTAACCATTGAATTTGTAGGATTCTTATTAGTAATCAAATGACAAATTTTCAACATTTAGCTTTACATTACTATTTATTCTATTCTATCTGTTTTTTGATTTGAGGAGGGGATTCAAATCCGGTGTAAAGGGACAGTCTTTGTCTTAATCCCGAATTCCCTTGAGCAAGAAATTTACCCACGTTACTTCAGTGCAACCAGCCGAGAAACCGGTAGTACGTCGGTGACATTCGAAAAATTCGGCCAGCATGGTATTCTGGTCTACTCATGCTCTCTGATGCCAGCGTCCCCTTGTGTTACTGCATTTCGCCTTCACTCACTGAAAGCTGATTATTCAATATAATAATTAGCACAAGTATGTAATAAAAATGTAATAAAAGATGTAATAATGGAGATAATACAGCATGTAACACAAGGATGTAATAAAATAATTCTGAAAAATATTTGTTACCGTTTCAATGTAAAATTGCGTTATTTCAGGTTTATGACATTCTGAAGGCTCTAGACACGAACTACATCATTCTGGAAGACAGCATCTGCCTGGCACGTTCCGACGGCTGCTCGGTGCCGGACCTGATAGACTTGGACAACGGTCATATTCCTCGTAACGGTTACAATTTACCTGGACTGACCAAGGTAGATACACCTCGGTTTTGCGATCAAATACGGCACATGACTATCGACTTTTCGCGTTACTTTCGCCTTATGTTTTCGAACCGAACATTCCGCGTCTACCAGTTGCTGGCATGATTTGAATTAATATAGCGAACGAAGATTTTGGTATTTTGTTTTCAATTTTTTTGCCACTGTTCGCTCGAATTACTGTGTACGATTGCGCATAATGGAGCGTTCTTTGCCTTATTTGCCAAAAGTTTGATGTGATCGTTGTTGTTATGCTTGTTAACAAATGCATGCGTTTTCGTCTTAGTTGCTGAATCGATGTAAACGCTGTGCGCCGATGGCATAAGCATAACATTCTAAACTGTGGACACCGCTCTGAAGCGTTACTGAAATGCGTCAGTGAAAACGAGGAAAACTTCCTATCAATGACTAAAAGGATATTATCTTAAAGCAATGGAATTTTTTGCTTGAAAATAACATGTGAATATTTAGTGCGTAGCTTGATAGTCATACTGAAGAATAAATGATATCATTTTACTGCGTTGAACAGAGTTACAAGATCGAATGCTTAATTCATGCTTTGTGGTCTTACTGAAAATACGCATAAAACGCTACTCTACACAAAGCACGCTAGATATACACAAACTCTGAACACCGCTTCAGTGAATACAAGTAACCAGCTGGACATCCTACGCTCTTCCATTAAACATTAACTACACTCACCCCTGTCACAAGTTTTTGTGATATTCATCAGATCTGTCAGAGATAATTGGAAAATCAGAGGCAACTGATTATCCATAGAACACGGAGAAAGAATGCTTTGTGAGATAAGTTATTGCTATTTTTACCTCTCAAATACGTCATGTCGAAACCTTCCAAATTTTACTGATTAAGTGCGCACAAAATTTAACGGTACGATTTTTGATATCTGGCCCTAGCACCTGGACCTCCGAACTTCTTCGGCTCGCAGCGCCGAGGATCGGCTACTAGCAGCGTCCTATCGTACTGTACCAGAATATCTTTTATCTCCTTTTTGCTAGCTTCGTCTTTGTCTAAAAATATTAAGGAACAAATCTGAAACAAAAGAATAGTAATTCATACGTTTCTGGAAATAGGCAACTATCGCTTTAGAGATGGCCTGGCGAATAGCTGTAAACAAATATACATGTCTTTGACACACTTAACACTAGAATCTACCATAAATTTGGGCGACATGACCACCTCCTTTGACGCGCACCCTGATGTCCACATCTTCAAACGGTTTCTTGCCCAGGATTAGTATCGGCTCTTGTAACTGCAAACAAGCAATGTAACTGCTAATAAATTTATCTAGCATTTATTCGCAAATAACATACTTTGTATCGCAAAATCCTTGGTTCCAAATGTTCAAGTGGCCTACCGTTAACTCTTATGTTTCCGTGACCTTCTTTACAGTAAGCAACAGCAGTGGCAGTTTTCTAGAAGTGTAGCTGTCATTTAAAACAGTTATGAGCCATGTTGGGTTGTCTTCACTTATAAGATTCAAAGAATTTTTTCATTTTACTGCCATTTTACCTTTTATAGGAAAGCAAACAGCCAACATCCATTTATCTACTGCCGTCCAACATTATTAAATCTAAAGAAGGTACCTGCCAACGGGATATAACGAAAAATGCATACGAAGGATTTATGAAATATACACAACTGCGGCACTCCATCAAATTGCAATCCATCTCTGCCTACGATTTGATTTCCCTTGCCTACGGCCTGACTCACGATCAAACACTACCACAGTTCTACCGCGGTTCAGAATCTTTTAACTCTTAATCACAGACAATGCTCTCACATCTGACATGTCTCAGTGGGAACGTATGCGCCATTCAGTCTCATCGAAGCTCCTGTGATTTTATATAGATAAAAAAATAGAAAACGATAAATAAATTAATAAAATTTTCTCGAAATGATTTTAAACAATGGGCTTAAGATTTATAGACGAATTATATTCTTGATGCATGGTTAGGAAAGTGAAACGCAAAACAGATATGG